CCCCCCCCCCTCCCTACATCATATAGGACATCTCCACCATCCCCTTTTATTAAGTAATTATGCTGAGAATCGTATTAAGTCCGCCTTTCTAAATTAAAATTTTTGAATTTAGAATATCTTAGATTTTGGCACGGCATGTTTTTTTACGCCAAAAGAATTTATATGTAAATCGTTAAGTATAATATCTGTTTCTATTTTCTAATGCTTTTTTCCGTTGATATCTGTTTCTATTATCTGTTATTAATATCTTCTCTGTTTCAGTTTAATAACAGCTGTGATAACTGAGCTGTCAGTGATTCCTACAACTTCTGTCCCAGTTATTCTTCGGTAAGTTAACGAAGATTTTTTTAAATTTAAAAATGTTATATTTTAATTGGTTTTAACATATTTTTGGTAAAACAAAAGACGACACAAAAATCTTACAGATAATAAGTTAAATCTCCTGTTCAACGAAATAACCAACCTTAAATTCCCTCCTTTTTTAATTCCAGGGAGGATAATTACTTATCCTCCCTCTGTGATCCATACAGATTTAATTCAAGATTTAGATCAAGAAATTAAATATTCTTCCATATGCATTAGTAAGAAATAAGAGAATTAAAATCATAATTGATAGTTTTATTGATTTCATTATTATTTTATCCCTCACGGTTGGTTATTTCGTTGAACAGGAGATTAAACGATAAATTACTACTTAACGGGGAGTTTTCATGAGGATAAATAAATTGAGGGGAAAACCACTTAGCATTGGGCCTCCTCGACCTTTTTGGGGTTCTAAACCTCAAGAGCGTAGCGAGGGAGGTCTTGGAGGCCCTCGACTAAGTGGTTTTCCCCTCAATTTAATTATCCTCCCTTAATCTCCCGGTTAAGTAGTAATTAATAGTTAAAATTTTTTAGGTTGAAAAATACAGAAGCTCATCTAATGACGTAGAAGAAAATGAGGTGTCCAATGTTGCAATCATAAATTCTTCTCTCCTCAGTACAGTACAGTAACAGCATACACGTAAAAGTGTACAACAGTACAATATCACTTTTCCCGGATTTTTTTATTTAAACCACAGTACAATAATTGCAGAAATTCAAATAGTTTCAAAAACAAAATCATTAAAAATTTATTTTAAACATTTTTTTCAACAGCGATAGACAATGTTTATTGTTTAGGTATTAATGAAATAAAAACAAAGAAAATGAAAAAATGCAGAAATGAATTATGTGTATTTTATCTTTTTTGTCTGTACTATTCTTAAACGACGAGGGGCCCGGGCTTTTGGTTAAATCTGATAATTTCAGAGAAAAATGGGAGAATTAGAGGAACTGGCCCAGTTTCTTCATATAGATCAGAGAACTGATCTCAAGGTTTTACTTTAATTTACTTTAACAGTCCCTGTAATTAGAGGAACTGGCCCAGTTTCTTCATATAGATCAAAGAACTGATATCAAGGTTTTACTTTAATTTACTTTAACAGTCCCTGTAATTTGAGGAACTGGCCCAGTTTCTTCATATAGATCAGAGAACGGATCTCAAGGTTTTACTTTAATTTACTTTAACAGTCCCTGTAATTAAAAAAAATGTGCATTGCTAAAATTCATAAAAAAAAAACAATGTGAAGGGATTTTTTTTGTAGACTGTTGCTTTACAGCATGTTCTTGGGATGACTGGGAACAAGGAAGGTCTGGCTGCAATCAGGTATTTTGTTCTTGTTTAATTTTTTAATCTTGTTTAAAATCCTGTTTAATCGTCTTTTATCTTGTTTGGTCTGGAATCTTGTTCAATCATGTTCGGTCTTGTTTGGTGTTGTTTGGTCTTGTTGGTCTTGTTTGGTCTTGTTTGGTTTTTGTTGGGCTTGTTTGGTCTTGTTGGTCTTGTTTGGTCTTGTTGGTCTTGTTTGGTCTCTTTTGGTCGTGTTTATTCTTGTTTATTTGTGTTTAATCTTGTTTACAATCGTGTTTAATCTTGTTTAATCGTGTTAAATCATGTTTAATCTTGTTTGATCGTGTTTAATCTTGTTTAATCGCGTTTAATCTTGTTTAATCTTGTTCAATCGTGTTTAATAGCGTTTAATCTTGTTTAATCGTGTGTTTAATCGTGTTCAATCTTGTTGTTTAATCGTGTTTAATCTTGTTTAATCTTCCCGATTCAGAAAAGCGATGTTATCATCCAGATTTTTGATCAGATTATGGTTTCAACGGTACCCTTGTTAATCGGACATTGCCTAACAAACGATCATGCAAACACTTGATTTTCTTCTTAATCCTCTTTTTTGGATACCCCTACTGTATAAAAGTTACGGTTGATACCAATTACAGCTAAGATGCTATATCGGTTGGACTAATATCCGATTGAACTAAAGTCAACTGTTCACAAGCCGGCTTTTAGAGCGTTTGAACAAATATAGATTTAATCATAATATTATGAACTTATTAAAAAAAAAAACATGTTTTATCACATCTGAGGACTATAGACATTTTTAACGTTAGTCTAAATAAACATTAATCCAAAACTTACGTTCCTTCATTCGATCATTAGTTCAATTGATGTGACGCCATAACACCAGAAATGCGTTTAAAGTTAAAGAGCTATCTCTTAATCTTTAGAAATTATTCTAAAGACAATTAGTCTTGATAATAATAGAAAAAAGAGAGGAGCACGTATTGATCTCGATATCCACCATTCTAAAGTTTTCAGTTCAGTCCTTATAAGCTGACTTGACAAGCTCACATTAATCAAATGTTTGTTTAAATTCATCCTTTTGCTTTATTCCAGCGAGGTTCCTGTCATTTCTGGGAATATTCTTCAGCTTTTAAACGACAAGGATCCCCATATAGCCCAGGTATATATATATTTTATTTTCTAAGCCTACTTAGAGCGGAAATATGAGACTCTAAGTTAAAATTAAATAAATAATTACTTCCTAAGCTTGGATCCGAAATTCTAGTACTGCTTCGCCATTTTTCTTCTCTGTAATGATTTTCCTTTTTTAAAAAATAGAGATTTAACTAATTGGGTTTCATCTGGCAAATCTTTGTTTCTTATGTATTATATTTATGTCTCCCCGTTAATCAACTGAACTTGAGAAAAACCTTATTATTTTTAAGTAAGTTGTGAAAATAATATATAAACTTTTCCTGTTTCTAGGAGGCTGCTCTGGCTCTGATCAACATTTCCTCCGACCCTAGCGTAGCTAAAACCCTGCTGCAATCAACTCACATGACCGGCTTAGGTAACCAATAGTTTCCACCTGCTACAACATCCCCCCACCCCCATCTTTTTTAATATTTCTAGGACAACTTTCAGTTAAGCATTAAAACAAGTAGAAATTTTCTTGAGAAGTTGATAACTTTGATTTTAATATATTAATTGACTTATTGATCTAGTTATCACTAATTTATTATTTATTTATTTGCTAATGCGTTTACCGAGTGGTTGATTGATTGATTAATTCATTGATTGATTAATTCATTGATTCATTGATTCATTGATTCATTGATTCATTGATTCATTTCATTGATTCATTGATTCATTGATTCATTGATTCATTGATTCATTGATTCATTGATTCATTGATTCATTGATTCATTGGTTCATTGGTTCATTGGTTCATTGGTTCATTGGTTCATTGGTTCATTGGTTCATTCATTTATTGATTTATTTCGTAGTGAAGACTCTGTATGAGAAGATACAGGATGAAGAGTGTCAGATTGCGGATGCTGCAACGATGATATTCTCCAATCTGACCAGGCAGGTTGCAACAATCAGTTTTGATTAAATTTTGCCTGATTAGACTGATTGCAATAATATTATTTTTCTAATTTCTATATTCTATTCAGAGATCTTGTGAGCTGTAGTGCTGTTTGGGATTCCTTGCAAGAAAACAATATTGAAATAGAACGGCTGGTTTTTCTTCTTTGTCAAGTACGTATTGGTAGAATCTAATTAAATACCGCCTGGACCAACCCCCTATCCTTATTTTTCAAACCTCAGTGACTTTGTCAATCTATTTTACTTGTAATGTGTGTGTTAATTATATTTCTTTACATGGGAGTGTGTGTGTGTGGGGGGGGGGTCCAGATATTTCATATTAAGTCAGTTTTTAAAACTTTTTTAGTTAATATTCATCTTCAAAAGTTATGGGGAGAAAATATGAAAATCCTTTTAATTGCAAGTTGTTAACTTCTTTTTTAAACCTAGTCCGGGCTGTCTTCATAACTTTTTATTTATTTTTTATTATTGATCTTAAACAGAAATTTTTGCTTTGCGCGCACAACTTATTAAAATGGATTTAATAATTGATAAAGGAAATTTATACATTTTAATAAAATTCCCATGAAAACACAAATCTTAATTTAGAGTTTTCTTTTGGTTTCTTTTTTTACAGTTTTGTTTGTTTAGGAAGGGTACAATAAGCACGGAGCTAACCTGAGGTAAAGATAAAAAATTATACTTCTCATAAAAAAAGAAAAACAACTTAAACCTAGTTTTTTCCTTGCATTTGATTTGTGGATTTTTCCAATACTTAAAAATAATAGGTTTTCCTATATATCTCTTCAAAAATGGTGAACACTCCCTTTAAACAAAAGAAAATGACATAATAATTCTGAATTTAGATATTTAGCAACGGTGTTGTCCAATCTAAGCCAGTTATCCGCTGTCAGGCAGAAAATATTGGGTAGGTTTTTTTCTCTTCACATTTTTTCTTTTTAGAACAAGATTTAGCAGGAGACGGAAATATTGTGATATTATTAAAAAATTATCTAAATATCATATCTTTAAATGCAAATATCTAGCGGTTGAAACCTTGGATTTATTGCCAGTCGTTCAAAACTCCTCGTTATTGATATTTATTTATATTTATTTTAAAAAGTGGCATACTTCATTGTTCTTCAAGAAAATATAAACTAACAAGTACTCTCTGTTAAACAATTTTAAAAATTCAGGTAGAGAGAGTGCGTTATACATACAACGTTTTCTTCAAGAAAGTATAAACTATTAATGAAATACTCTCTGTTAAACAAAATTATAATTCAGATCGAGAACAGTGCATTATACAACATTTTCTCCAAGAAAGTATATTCTAACAAGTACTCTCCGTTAAACAATATTAAAATTCAGATCGAGAGCAGTGCATTATACAACGTTTTCTGCCCTTTACAGAGTACACTGGTAACATTGTGAAAAAGGTAGGAAACTAAATCATATTTTATTACATTTTCATTATTGTATTATGTCTGAAATTGTACAAATATTTGTTATTTCTTGCTCGCAAAGGGGAATGAAATATGAAACCACTTTCTGAAGACAGAAATATGGAAATTTTCATTATTGTCCTTTATCGTTTCCCAGGTTGAAATGGTACACTGCTTAAATGGACTATAGACGTTATTTCAAATGACCCTCCTGTCATTGGTTGAGTGGCACGTTTGATTCACAACGGTATATAGTTCTGTCTGATCATATATGAATTTGATATCATTGTTTATAATTTTAAACACGGATTATTTTCAATTGTGGTTTCTTTACAAATTTAACTGCGCACTTCTACTGCAGAAAATATATGAGAATCATCAGAATTAAACATTTTCAATTCCAAGTAAAATTACAACATCTTCCACAGTATTAATTAGATAATGTTTTCATTGGTACCGTTGTAAATCGGGCATTGTCATCTTTGAAATGTATGGTCACTTGAAATTATGTTTACAGTCCTTTTAATAGGATTTATATATACAGTAATCAGTCCCTTTAAAATGTCTGTGTTCAGGGTGGTATTATTGGTGCCTTGAGAAACTGCTGCTTTGAACAGGACGCTCATGACTGGTTGCTCTCAACGGTAAGAAAATGTAATTTAGAAAATTATTTTAACTATAATTTAAGAATTTAAGAACATTTATAGTTTTATTTATCAATTTTATTGATTTGATTTAATCACTCATTTATTAATTCATCCTTCCTTTCATCCTTCCTTCCTTTTATTAATTCATTTATTCATCCATTCATTAATTCATTTATTCATTCATCCTTCATTCCTTAAATCCCTTAATTAATTCATTCATTTAGGAATAAATGTATTATGGCGTGATTGATTGATTTAATTATTCAGGATGTGGATATTTTACCCCGATTACTTCTACCCTTGGCAGGTCCCTCTCCCGACCACCTCGAGTAAGCAATAAACCCTATTTTAGCCACACTCCTCGGTCCATAACCACACCGCTCGGCCCCTAACCACACCGCTCGGCCCCTAACCACACCACTCGGCCTCTAACCTACCCAAACCACACCACTCGGCTCCTAACCTACCCTAGCCACACTGCTCGGTCCCTAACCTACCCTAACCACACTGCTCGGCCCCGAACCTACCCTAGCCAGTAGCCACACTGGTCGGCCCCTAACCTAATCACATTGCTCGGACCTAATCTACCCAAGCCACACTACTCGGTTCAAAATCTTCACTAGTCACACTGGTCGGCCCCTAATCTACCCTAGTAAAATTTCTTAACCCTTTTCATCTTTAACAATTACTTTAAATGCCAGCCTCATATGCATAACTTCTTCGACGTACTGTGTATGCCACATTTGAACTGAACTTATTTTTAAAATATTTCTGTTTTCAGATTAATTTTACTTCAGATTGAATTTGACATTTTATTTAGTGATGATGAGGTGGAGAATTTACCCGTTGAACTTCAGTACTTGGACGAGGATAAGGGAAATTAAATAATCAGTAATCACTCAATCAATCAATCAATCAATCAATCAATCAATAAATAAAACATATAATCAAACATTTAATCGATAAGCTGGATGGTCAAATGATTTTTTAGTTCTGAGTTTTATAAAAACACGTGTTTAGTGGAAAATTGATTATTTTTATTTGTAGAAAATAGAAGAAGACCCTGATATCAGGTACTTTTGCATTTGTAGGGAGTGTTCACGAAGAATAACAATGATGATATAAGAATTCGTTCAGAACTACTTTTATTTCTAGCAGATGTTTCGTTGGGTATTTTATTTTCAAAGGAATAAAACAAAATCCAATACTAAAAATAATAATAAATTTGTATTATACAAATTTATTCTTGTCTTAACTAAAACTATTCAAACAAATAAAAAAAATTCTGTTAATAAAACTAGACAGCATTTTTGTTAGATGGTTTTTCAATGAAGAAAAACAGATGCGATAAAAATTAATGATTAGTATTGCATCAAGAAATCTTTGTAACAAATAATGAACTAAAAGTCCCATTCGCCCTACTCCTAATTTTTTGAATAAAATATAGATCTGCTAATCATGGTGGAGTTTAGAGTAGGGATTAAACTCATTTCGTTAATTCATAAGTTTTCAACTCTTTGTGGCGACTAAATTAACTTTTTAAAAATAATATAAATTAAATGAAAAAAACTCTTTTTAAGGAAAATGATTTTAGAAGCTTTAACACAGCTTTGCAGTAAACGATCAGCTCGGGAAATTTTAAGGTAAACGCAAAAGGAGAAGAAAAATGGGATTTAGACATTTTATTATTTAACAATGATTTACGAATCTCAGACATCAACAATTTATAATTTTAAACACGGTGGACTAAGCCAGTGGGGTCGGTCAAATAGGCCTAGGATTAGGCCGGGTACTGTAAAAAGTCTGAACGTGCCATGGGTACGTGCAGTACCATAGGATCGGGTCAGTACACGCTGTTATCTGGCAGGCCGTACAAACTGGGCAGGTCCTGTTCGAATTCAAATTTACTGCGGCCCAGAGTGTTAAAGGAAAACTTAATTTTAAGTGACCCTACATTCAAAGCTGGCAATGCACGATTTACAATACATCCCTAGAAACATTTATTTGATCTATAATGGGGAAGATATTGTCGATTTCTTAGGTTAAACGTGTTTACTGTTTAGTTCTGACAATGTGTAAGTCACTTTTGTAGAGAAATCACGATTAAAAACATGCATTTTTTAAAATGATAAATATTGATAAACATTGATATCTCTAATTTATACTTGATCAGACAAAGCTTTTAAGGGTAACGTTGTGGATCGAACTTTACCATCTTTGCATGAAGGGTCACTTGAAATTTCGCTGACAGTCCCATTGAGCCGTTTATTATTGATAGGTTGTCCTTATAGGATTTGATAATTATGTAAACTTAATAATTTAGGAAAAAGAACACATACATAATACTGAGGGAATTACATAAACAGGCAAGATTTTTATTAAATTATGATTTTATTATTTATTTTAACGTTTATTATTTTAAGTAATAAAGATTTTTAATCTACACTACATTTGTATAATGAAATAATTGTTCAATTAAAAAAAAAATTGTTATTTTTATTTTGAATTGAAAAACTAGGAGAAGGACCGCGAGGTATTGCTGGCTTGTGAGAATGTTATTGATATTCTGATCAAAACAGAAGAGGTAAGTTTAGTAGAAACTAGAATTTTCAGTGCAGCAGATAATTTGCTGCGTTTTTCTAAAACCATTTTTTAACATTTTCGGAGTGCTTCAAAACATTCTAAATCAGCCATTTTTAATTTGACAAAAAAAAACTCAAAACATGTTCATTGTTTAACGAACCAATAAATAAACAGATAAATAAATTCAATATTTGTGTTCAGGAGATAGCTATAGAAAACTACCACGAGGTTGATGTTCCTGAACATCTTGTTCAGAAGTTTGAACAGATGGACAAGTTCTACTTGGAGGATTAACTCGAGACCTAGGACTGATCCTTGCAGGACACCTAAACCACAACCGAGAACAAACAAATTAGTGATATCATTCTTTATATTTTTTACTTTTTTCAGAAAAATGGAGGGAATGAAAGGACAGATCAAATCTATGCTGCAGGTTTGTTTTTGGTTTATGTTCATGGTTCCCCCAGATTTATCCTCAACTGTTCCGGTGTTATTTTCTACTGCTTACCCTAATTTATAATTTTTTGATCATGGGATTGAAAAGCTTCTAATTGTTAGCTGCCCTCTTTGCCATATGTTTTTTTTAGTCAGAGTAAAGTTTTGATTCAAAAACAGCTCTTCCGTTTAGCCAGCATTACCAAGTCATGGTATATAGACTCAATATTACGCTTTTAAATCGTGGCCTGGCCTGAGGAAAATTACTTTTTTTTAAAATAAAATAAACTTTTTTACAAAGAAATCTGTAGCATATGTTTGTTTAGGGAATTGAACGTTACAACCCTGACAATATCAAAACCCTGGAGCACTACGTTGACCTGCAGGTAAATAATTCCTGGTCAAGGTCCATCTCTTTAAGGGAATGTAGTTTTAATTTCAGGTGACCTTTCATTTAAAGAGAGAATTGACCGATTCACAACTGTACCCTTGAAACCTTTACCTGATAAAAATGATCATAAATGTCGAAGATATGAGGCCGAATTTAAAGAATTTGAGCTGCGCCTTAAATATGGTTGGTTCCACTTTAAATTGTATTACATTTTTTCAAGATTTAAGACGGCACTGAATTGAAACCGGTTGAGGGGTTTGAGACGCGNAACCCAGACCGCCATCGGGTGAGCGCACTCAAACACCCAGCCCCCCGGCCATCCGATAAAAATCGTTTTCCTGGATTTTAAATGTTAAATTTTGATAATATCTCCGTTGTTCTAGAAGCAAGAAATGCGTTAGACATTTTGCAGAGAGACCATGAATGAAAATCAACCTTTTTCTCGAACAAAATTATGAATATTTCATTCACGCACGATCAGAAACAGCTTTTAAGAGCAAAGTTTTGAATCGACCAATCTTTCAATGAAAGTTCATTTGAAATAACGTTAACAGTCCCTTTAAAAGTGATTAAACTTGATTTTACGTTCGTCGTTTCTGTGGAAACAGTAGAAATCGACAGATTTTCTGAATGAAATGTAAATTTTTTAATTTTGACTTTAAGATTAAACATAATAAATTCAGTAAGAGTTTCTTTGCCTAAACAAACAATTTTGTCACTGGGATTAAGACATAATTTCCATTGACCCTTCACGCAAAGAAGAAAATGCCTGATTTACAACGGTACCCTTTCAACCTTGCATTAACGGCGTACAACTAACTCTATGGTAATCTCTTAAATGGTGTTAATTTTTTTATAATTCTTAATCTACTTATCTTTTTTTAAAAGGCAATTCCCGCCATACTTTATAAATATTTAGAATTTTTAATATACAACTTTTAAAAAGCTAGTTGAAAATTACCAGTAATTCTAGGCAGCACGTTTTGTTATTCTTGGACGTTTTATTATCCTAGGCACGTGAGAAGGGGTACGATATCGAGGCTAATCTAGCGCTACTCAAGCTCTATCAGTTCAACGCTACCTACTACAAGTAAGTATTGGAGAAAAAATTTGGAAAATTTCCAAGTTTTATTGCATTAATTGTAAAAAAAATTTAGTTCTAAACAATACTAGCCCAAATCTCTACTCTATATTGTACATTAGAGGTTGTTGTACAGATACTAATGTACATATTCTAGGTTAGAGGTTGTTGTACAGATACTAATCTACATATTGTTGATTAGAGGTTGTTGTACAGATTATAATGTATATATTGTAGATTATAGGTTGTTGTTCAGATACTAATGTACACATTGTAGATTAGAGGTTGTTGTACAGATACTAATCTACATTTGTTGATTTGAGGTTGTTGAACAGATACTAATGTACATATTGTAGATTAGAGGTTGTTGAACAGATACTAATGTACATATTGTAGATTAGAGGTTGTTGTACAGATACTAATCTACATTTGTTGATTAGAGGTTGTTGAACAGATACTAATGTACATATTGTAGATTAGAGGTTGTTGTACATATACTAATGTACATATTGTAGATTAGAGGTTGTTGTACATATACTAATGTACATATTGTAGATTAGAAGCTGTTGTACATATGCTAATGTAAATATTGCAGATTAGAGGTTGTTTTCCAGATACCATTGTACCATATTTTAGATTTGATGTTGTTGTACAGATACTAATGTACATATTCTAGGTTAGAGGTTGTTGTACAGATACTAATGTACATATGGTAGATTAGAGGTTGTTGTACAGATACTAATGTACATATGGTAGATTAGAGGTTGTTGTACATATACTAATGTACATATTGTAGATTAGAGGTTCTTGTACAGATACTAATGTACATGTTGTAGATTAGATGTTGTACAGATACTAATGTACATATTGCAGATTAGAGGTTCTTGTACATATACTAATGTACATATTGTAGATTAGAGGTTGTTGTACATATACTAATGTACATATTGTAGATTAGAGGTTGTTGTACACATACTAATGAACATATTGCAGATTAGAGGTTGTTGTACATATACTAATGTACATATTGTAGATTAGAGGTTGTTGTACATATACTAATGTATATATTGTAGATTAGAGGTTGTTGTACATATAATAATGTAGATATTGTAGATTAGAGGTTGTTGTACATATACTAATGTACATATTGTAGATTAGAGGTTGTTGTACATATACTAATGTATATATTGTAGATTAGAGGTTGTTGTACATATAATAATGTAGATATTGTAGATTAGAGGTTGTTGTACATATACTAATGTACATATTGTAGATTAGAGGTTGTTGTACATATACTAATGTACATATTTTAGATTAGAGGTTGTTGAACAGATACTAATGTGTATATTGTAGATTATAGATTGTTGAACAGATACTAATGTACATATTGCAGATTAGAGGTTGTGTACAGATACCATTGTACATATTTTAGATTAGATGTTTTTGTACAGATACTAATGTACATATTCTAGGTTAGAGGTTGTTGTTCAGATTCTAATGTATATTTTGTAGATTAGATGTTGTTGTACAGATGAGAATGTACATATTGCAGGTTTTTGTATATTTACTAATGTACATATTGTAGATTAGAGGTTGTTGTACATATTGTAGATAAGAGGTTGTTGTATAGATACTAATGTTCATATTGCAGATTAGAGGTTTTTGTATATTTACTAATGTACATATTGAAGATTAGAGGTTGTTGTACATATACTAATTTACATATTGTAGATTAGTGGTTGTTGTACATATACTAATGTACATATTGTAGATTAGAGGTTGTTGTACAGATCTTGATGCTAGCGTTGACAAATCTACCGCACACAGATTTTGTTCTCTGTAAATGTCTTCTCACTCAGGTTTAGTCTTTTTATATCTATCAAGTTTAAGGAACAGTAAATGAAAATGAATCCCTAGGAAAATGCCACTTGTTTACTCTTAATATTAGTAATCAACAATTAACCAACATTGCGTAGAAATCAATGCCTATCCTCCTCATTTTTCTTTTACTAACTGGTTTTTTTTTATTTTCATATTTTTTACAAATTACAATTTTTAAGCGACTAGTAATTGATTCATGTTTATAATGCAGATAATCATTTTTTTCAATATTCCTGTTTTCTGTCTACCCTTGTTCGCTTTATTTAACTGTATTGTATTATCTGCATTCTTCAATGCAAAGACACCTGTGCACTTTTCAGTTTTTAGTCTATCTCTCTATAACTTTCAGCGTCGGAACAATAGAAGTGCATAACTATTTAACCAATGTATTGTTTATACGCCACCCCGTACACAGAATAATCAAGTCTAGTATATAGTTTTAGAATTTATTTCTTGATCATCTAGCTGTGAAGCTGAAATATAACAATAATTAGTATTATATATTTNATAGTGCGGGATTAATAAGAGTTTATTGTACATATTCAATCACCCTGCATAGAAAGTTCTTGGCAGGATCACACTGGTTCACAAATCTTCTCACAGGCTGTAGTTTATCCTAGAATAATAGTTTAGATTTTACACTCCGGGCGGCAAAGGATAAACGGAAGCCTGAATTCACTAATAATGTTTCTTGAATGTTTATGATTACAGGTTCCTCAAGATGAATTGTAGATTCGAATACTTTGAAGCTTGATTTAACTCTTCGATGAGCTCCAGTTCTCCTTCCTTATGCAGTACAGCGATCCTTCTCACCGATCTCCTTGTGGTTCGGAAGACAGATTCAGAGGAATTCTTGTATTCAATCACTGCAGTTCTCACCACTCCATCCTTGCTCCGTTCGATCTCCCGCACTCTACCTAGCCTCCAGATAGGTTCACCCAGTTTCACATCTGACTCATGTTTCATGAATATCACTAGATCTCCAGGCTTGGGTTCATATCCTCCAGACCTCCATTTACGAGGTTGGGGGATGAAATCAATCAACCTCTCATCCTTCCAGACCTTCCACCAGGATTCGAAAACCAGCTCCATGTCTTCTATCATCTTGGACGGAGTACTCATTCTGCTAAACCCACCAGGTGCACGTCGATTATTCCTTCCATAGAGAAGTCTTGAAGGTGTGATTAAGTCCAGATGATCGAGGTTTTCATATCTTGATCCCAGACAGACAGGTAAACAATTTATCTCATTAGCTGTCCAAGCAAAGGCAGTTTCATATCCCATGATACTGAGCTTCAAACCAGAATAGACAGCTGTGAATATCTTTTTTACTTCTTTTATCGATCGTTCAACCATTCCGTGCACGTTATGACCACCAACAGGACATGATGAGAATTCTATTCCAACTCTGTACTTAGAATCCAGAGATTTAGCAACGTCCATTACGTTAAACTCAATCTCCTTGCAACCTTTGAGTAGCTGTCCTCCTTCATCAATAAATAGTTT